AAAAGAAACATAGTGATAGAGATAGTGACAGAGGATGAAGCTCAAGGTTGGAAGGCACTCAACAAGCTACTGAGTAAGAGCAGAGGACAAATACTGTTGTGGCTAATGACACAACTGGACTAAAGCTGAAAGAATGTTCACCTGTTGATGTGCTCAGGGGTGAAAAAAAAATCTAGAGCTGCATAACATTTTTTTTTAGGAATATGGAATGTGAAAAGCATGAATCATGGCAAGCATTGTAAAACAAGAAATGGAATGTATAAACTTTGCAATACTTGAGGTGAGTGAGCTAAAGTGGGCAAGAATGGGACATTTTCAATCAGATACTGATTGAAATGTCCTACTCAGGAAATGAAAAGCTAAGAAGAAATGGGGCAGAATTAAAAGTAAGGGAAGATGTAGCATAAGCCATTGGAATATGATACAAAGTCTGACTGCTTAATAGCAATAAGATTTCAGAGAAAACCCATGAGTATAACTATAATCCAAGTATATGCTTCAACTACAGAGATAGAAGGGGAAGAAATTGAAAGACGATATGCTGGAGTTCAGGAGGAAATTGATCACACACCAAATCAGGACATGGAATGCAAAAATAGGAAAACAAGTAGAATCAAAGATTTTTGGAGATTTTGGTTTAGGATCAAGAAATGAAATAAGAGAGCAATGGACGGAACTTTGTGAAGCCAACAGTTTGTTCATCAGAAACACATTCTTTAGGCAACCTAATATATGACTGTACACATGGACATCATCTGATGGCCAACATAGAAATCAAATAGGCTATGTAACGGAAAGTTGAAAATGGAGAAGCTCCAGTCTTTCTGCAAAAACAAGACCAGGAACAGACTGTAATACTGACCATGAACTACTGATATTAAAAATTAGAATAAAGCTAAAGAAGAACACTAAATCATTTTGCCAAAATACAACCAGAAGAACTGTAGAATATAAGATAATGTTTTTTTAAAAAGCACTATTAAGTCTAATGGAGTAGGAGCCCAATCTCTGGACACAAGCCAAGGACATTGTCAGGGAGGAATGCAAAAAGTCACTATCTGCAGCCAAAAAGAAAGAAACATTGCTTTGGATGATAATTGAAACTCTTCATGCAATTAAGGACAGCCCAGAAGCAAAAGTAAAAGGAGACAGAAATAGGGTCAGAATCTTGAATGCAATAATTCACCAACTTGAGAGCAGGGACAGAGAGAGTTGCTATAATAATCAGTTCTGAGAAACAGAAGATGACAATGACAAATGTAAAGGTAGAACAGGAGACCTTTTCCATAAGATTCAAGAAATCAAACTGAGGTTTAAACCAGGAGTGGGGTTGCTATACAACCAGGAGGTGGGGGGGGGGGAAGCTGATGGGAACAATATACTGAAGAACTACATAAAAGAGCTGAAAGGATGACAGAATCATTTAAGGAAGAATAATTTGAAGATGAACCTACAATCTTAGCAAATGAAGTGGACACTGCATTGAATACACTTGGGAGAAATAAATCACCAGGAAAAGATGGCATAGCATTAGAGCTGTTTTAAGCTACAGAGACAGAATCCACTCATGCTCCAACTAAAATCTACCAACAAATATGGAAAACAAAACAATGGCTTACAGATTGGAAATTTTCAATATATATTCCAAGAATAGTGACACCAGGGACCGGACCATTGCATTGATCCTCCATACAAGCAAAATGATGCTCAAAAGTATGCAACAAAAAAACTTTAACCTTATATGGAATGAAAAATGCAAGGTGTCCAAGTTGAGTTCAGAAAAGGAAGAAGTACTAGAGATCTTATTGCAAGTATACATTGGCTGATGGAGTGCAGCAAAGAATTTCAAAAGAAAATCATCCAGTGCTTTGTAGATTATAGCAAAGCCTTTGATTACAGATCACTTTTAGAGAAATGAGTGTGCCACAACATTTGATTGTCCTGATATGTGATGTGTACTTAGGACCATAAGCCACCATCAGTACATGGAGAAACAAAATGGTTTCCATCAGCAAGGAGGTCAGGCAAGATTGTGTTTCATCATCCTTTCTGTTTAATTTATATACTGAACATATCACATGTATAGTTGGATTAGAGAAAGGAGATCTGAAAATTAGAAGAAGGAACAATTTCAGATATGCAGATAACACCATACTACTAGCAGAAAATAGCAAAGATTGTTGGAAAAAGTAAAGGAAGAAAGTGCTAAGGCAGAGTGACAGTTGAACATGAAGAAAACAAAAATAATGACCACAGATTATTTACATAACTTTAAAGCAGATGATGAAGATATTGAAACATTTAATGACTGAGGCAAGGTATGGATACTTTTTAATCAGAATGGAGACTGTAGTCAGAAAATCCAAAGAAGGATAGCTCTTGGAAGGGATAGGCAAGATCCTGAAGTGTAAAGCTGTATCATAGAATAATAAAGTTAAGATTGTCCATGTCATATTACCTATTTCTGTGTATCGTGGTGAAAGCTGGACTGTGAAAAAAGCTGAAGAAAATCATCTAATTTGAAATGTGCTGGAGAAGCATTCTTCCGCTATTGAGTACTGCCAAAAAGACAGAGAAATGGGACTTAGAGCAAATCAAGCTTGAACTCTCCCTGGAAGCCAAGATGACTAAAGTGGTTACTGTTGTACTTTGGTCATATCATGAGAAGACATTACTCACTAAAACAAACAATAATGCTTGGTAAGGGAGAGGATAGTAGGAAGAGAGGAGAACTGCATTACATGTAGATAGACTAAAC